AAACATACTAAAAAACACATAAAGCGTTTCTAGGTAAGCACCACTATTTTCCTCAAAACAACAACCAAACATTTAAATGAAAGCGGCAACCCCACTTCACTTTTTTTTTGTGTCGACAAACTACTTGTCCAAAAATTATGAAACTTCGTTATAAGATACAAAACACCATGATCTACAACTATCGTCATATGAATTTTGGAGTTTGAAAACTTTAAGATACCCAAAACAAGCCTGTAATCCAATTGAACTTTTCTAATGACACAACAACAGCAGATCACTAAAACAAGCATGATTAGAGTCGGCTTGTTTGGTATGGCTTCTAAAGTGCTCCTCTATAGGAGCCGGAGAGGAAGAAAATTATATGGACCCTAGGTCCGATCTAAAACATCATCCGTGAGACCCCTGCTTCTATGGCTGCCACGTGGTGCTCGCAAAAAAAATCAAACGTCTGAGGTGAGCTGGTGCTATGGTAGAATCTAAAAAGGATTGAGCGGTTGAGCCCTTAACTCACGGAGGCAGGTGCTGTGGTGAGCTGGTGGACGTGCGATTCATTTACCTAGCCTCGTGTCAACATCATTAAGGGGGCGCACAGGAGATAAAGTGGACCCTGTGTCCACTGAATTTTCTTCCACCGGAGAGGTGTAGTCACAAGATGCAGCTCCTCCTCCAGATCTTAAACGGCTCCGACTCCTCTACCATTCACCAGAAAACAACTCATCATAAAGTTTTTGGTATATATGGCTTCTCCAAAGAAACAGCTGCATGAGCCGGAGACGTGCTGGACCGGCCTTAAGCATCTAGAGACATAATATACACCATTGTAAAAATTATGAATTTTCCTACAACTTCCATGTGAGCGACCGTGTTTAATTTTTGAGGGAATTGTGAGCAACCAGGTGCGTTTAACAGCGTTTTTGCTCAAGGGACAGCAATTTCCATTTACTTGGCGACGTCCTTTTCTTATATGGATATGGAGAATAAATAAATACTGGGATACGAGTACGATTATGGAATTCGAAATAGTCTGGTCGAGACTCAATTATGGTTAATCGCTAATGAATCGCTTTGGCCCATTGACCCCAGATGTCGCCGTAGTTCAAACCGCCTACAGAATGGGCCGCAAGCCTGTTTAACCCATTGGAATTCCTAGCCCATATACGGTGGCCCCTTTCTGGTCCAGTGGTAGCAGCCCAACACATTACCTGTTTTTTGTTTTTTTTTGGAGAAACAGCCCAACGCATTACCTGACAGGTCCGATACAACGACAACACCCTTAGCGCACCTACCATATATCAGTGGGGGGCTGCCTGACGGCCGACGCGGCCCCATTTTTCTGGTGGGCGGAAAAGAAGGCCGCGCTTCCCTTCCCAGCGTACCGGCAGATTGTGGCTGGGCCTGGGGCCGCTCAACATGGCCGTGCCCGCGGTTGCATGCCATCGCGCGGCGCGTGACCCCAGCCAGCCCCCAGGAACGACGACCCCGGCCCGCGTTTTCTCACCGCACTGCCGGGCGCCGGGGTCGGTCATCCAATGGCGACCACACACCGCCACAAACACCACGCCGGTTGACCCAGCTGACGCGGGCCCTGTGGACTCGACTCGACCGAGAGTTTGACATCTGCTAGCTCTCCCGATCGCCCGCTGGATTCCGCCACTCCGTTCCGTTCATCGGTCGTCCACCAATACGCTACCACTGCGCACGGTACTGCGACCTCCACTTCGAAAAGAGGGGGCCCGGCCCCACCACCCTATATATATAGCTCACCAAGTTAGAGCAACCCACTTATACTCAGTACTCTCATATACATGCATCCATGTCAAACGAGTTGACTGTTCTGTGCCAGTGCCATGATGGTTATATATATCCTTTTTGACGAAGTCTATATGTGTGGCTTGTTCTAAGTAAAGCGGTTAAAGTTGCATCAGGTATGCGTCAGTGACGACCGGCGACTTGAATATTTGGCGCCTTCTCATGATGAAAATTGGAAAACCACGTTCAAGTAACTTGGATTTTCGAATAGCTTGTTGATCGGGGTGTGATTGATGATTTATCGGTGATGGGAATTTAACTCCTTCAGCGTGCCCACTGCGACTTACAATCGTATATGGTAGATACTAGACAGGGATCTACCACAATCCTGAATTACCTTGAGAGCCAAAAATTTTCTTGAGTGCCAAAATAAAATCACCAAGAAAAGTATAATTTCCTTGGCTGGGGATGTAGACCTCCAAGAAAACGCATATTCTTGAGCGCTAAACCAAACCACCAAGGTAATTGCACGTTTCCTTGAGTGCTAGTCCAAACCGTCACGGCAATTTCATGTTTCCTTGAGTGTTATTACAAACCGTCAAGTTAATTGCTCATTTCCTTGGGTTCTATTTGAAACCATCATGGAAGTACTCAGAGCTTTGAAATTCAATTTTTTAAATTTTTTTCTAAATGACCTCAGATGGAGATACGACCTAAACCAAAGTTATAGTAATCAACGAGATCTAAAACTTTTTAGTTCAAGTTTTTACGTTTGAAATCATTTATGATCTAAAATATTCATTCCAAGATTCAATAAAGTGAATACAAAAGAAAAGAATAAATTCACTTAGTCACAAGTAACTTCGAGGTGTAGTGGTAAGTGTGCTTCACGCGAAGCCGGGCTTTCAGTTGTTACTTTTTGCTCTTGCTTTATATTTCCTTGGAGGTTGTTGGCCCTCAATGAAACTAATATTATGTCTAGATACATAGCAAATTCGATATACCAAAAAGGTCAAAGCGACTTATAATTTGGAACGGATGGAGTAGCAAATATGTCCGCGCATTGCAATGGTATGTTAAATTTGTTGCACGGTGCTAGTGCAAATGATAATGAGCTAGCAATTTTTGTTGGATCTAATTATCTTTAGCCCAATCTTAAACTAATAATTTTCAAGGCCCATAGCAAATGATAGTGCAATAAAGAATTAATCCCACATGAGAAATTGATAGGAAACTGACTCAATTTAAATGTGTACCATTTTGTGTAAACGATGTGAATTTAAGAGTACATTTGGTAGGGATCCAGTTTATCACAGAAATATTTTGGATCTAGATTTTCTAAAGAAATGTTTCACACAATGAATCGCTTCGGAGATGGTTTGGCTGGTTGGATGGATTTTGATTCACAAAAGATGAAAAACCATATAAATCAAAAGATTCTTCAAAAAACACAGAACTTTTTGTTGGCGAAGAACAATTTAAATAAAACCCATTTTTACTTGTTTCACTTAAAAGTGCTAACTAAAAAATATGGTTGGTAGTACAGAGGGAGGTTATAAATAGAATCAGGAAAAAACTGGCTCATTTTTACTTGTTCCATTTAAAAAGTAGTAACTAAAAACATGGTTGGTAGTACAAAGGGAGGTAAGAAATGGAATCAAACGAAACAGGCTGGCTTTTGTGTGTTTTACTAACGTAGGCAAAACTCCCCGAATGGTGCCGCTATTTCTAGGATCGAAATGAATCACGAAGGAGCATTTAGCAGCATTTCCGGTGTTCCGCATGAGGAGCGGAACTGGCCCTCATGTCCAAACCCTCCCTAAGAAAGATGAAAGACAAGACACACGCCCGCACGTGCGCTGCAATGCGAACGGGCTCGGGCAGCCAAGCCATGACAGGAGTCATGAATGGAAAGGGTTTTATAGGTCCAAATTCAAAATAAGGTGAGGGTGAGGGACAACGAACTAAGGGACAGAAGACTGTGTGGCGGACAGACATGAGAAAAATGAGAGACGGAAGAAATAAATTTACCACTTTTTACATTAGTTATAGACAACTTGCATGTTATGAGTGTATGAAAAATACATAATGCAACTACAATATATATAGTCTTAGATTTGGCCTAGGCTCTCATAGTTTTCTGTGTATGAAAACGACGAGTTGTCTCTGATAATTTTGTCAATATCACGAGACTAAGATTTTAGAAGATATTGAAAGAAACAAGCAGGAGGTTGCTTGGTTTATTGGCTAGGTATTGTATAACCTTGCTAAGCGTTATTTGAATATGTTGCCTAACCACCTTAAGATTTTTTTTTCGATAAACCACCTTAAGATTTGGGTAGACAAGTTCTGCCTCGCTTGCCTCAGATAGCCGAACCAGCTCTTCTAGCTAGGTAAGGCTTTCGTGCTCCGTACCATCTAGATGAGGCCATGCAAAACGAGCCACACGTCAAGATAACAAGCAAGCAAAGGTCTTCGAGTCCGCCTGCATACTACTCCCTCCGTTCCGAGTTATAAAACGTTTTGAATTTTTGAGATTTATAGCTTTTGCTATGTATCTGGATGTAAGTTATGTCTAGATCCATAGTATCTAGAAATGCCAAAATGTCTTATAACTTGAAACAGTGTTTTTTCGTTTGGGAAAGAAAAAACGAATTCTATCGGAATCGGTTGTTGGTGGGCACACGTATTCTCGCAGCTGGCCAGATATAGGCGCGTTGTCCTACGCGATTGACCCTCGTCACATTCCCAAAAACCTAGTACTTCCCCCCTTGTGGAAAGCTAACAGTACCCCACAGCACAGTAGAGAGCACCCACCCCGCAACTGGCCCCTGCGCCGGCCGGGGGCTGTCGTGCTCTAGGGATCGCATGCGGATGCCCAGATTTCGCTGCTGCTCCCACCGTTCACACGCCACCGCCCGCTGCCTGCCTTGCTTACCCCGCGTGTGCGTGTGCGTCGACACCGGCCGCGTACGTAGTACCTGATGAGCCCTTGCAACCTTCAAAAGGCCGCACACAGCACGCTCCAAAAGGGCTTCATATAAGGAGAGCAACACCAACGGCGCACCAACCTCACCATTTCCCTCTGCCTCCCCTTCGCCCCGGCCGTGACATGCACGCCTTGACATAGACGGCCCTCTCGTTTCTTCTTCTCCACACCACCAAACCCGGCATATAAAGCAGCACAAACACTTCTTGCGCTGCCGAGGGAGCAAATTGATCGATCTATGGTGTTGAGGGCTTGCGCAATAATGGAGGGTACTTTCAGCGTGCCGTATTACGAGTGGCTCAAGCCACGGTCGTCACCGTCGTCATCGCCGCCGCCGTCGCCATCCTCCTCCTCGTCGACGTCCTCGATGACGCTCTCAACGCCATCGATCGACCAATTAGCCGTCGGTGATGGCCATGATGAGCGCCACGCCATGACGTGCTTGCCGCTTCTTGGTAGGCTTGAAGGGAGGACAACGACTCCTGATCGTGGCCATAACCATAATCCTATCAAAGAGGAGCTGATGAGCAATCTCGCTACCACCGGCGGCACGCGGGAGGAAGAGGCCGCCGGTGTTGACCTGAACATCGGCTTGCCGCCGGCGGCGACTGGGGGATGCTATAGCTCTGAAGAGGCGCCCATGGACGAGGAAGACGACGATGAGGAGGAGGAGGATTTCGAGGAGGAAGAGGACGACGACAAGGCAAGGAGGCATGAGAAGTGCAAGGTGGAAGAAGAAGCAGGTGGCGGAGAGCAGCAACAGCACGGTGAGATGATGGTGGAGTCCGATGAGAGATCTGATTACCTGCGCGTGGGTGGGGAGGAGGGCATCAAGGGCTTCATCGGCAGCCGTGGCCGGCGGTACTGGATCCCGACTCCGGCGCAGATACTCGTCGGACCAGTGCAGTTCATCTGCCATGTCTGCAGCAAGACATTCAACAGATACAACAACATGCAGGTGACTTATTAGCTCATACTACTACCTATCATGTCTCATTTGGAGCACTTTTTTAATTGCTATCGATCTCTTTATCCTCTCTTCCTCAATCAGAGTTATTTTCTGTTTCCAATTGCGTTGAATGCCTTTTTTGCAAAAGAAAAGCTGTGAGTGCTTCTTCCAAGTTCCAAGTACAAGTGCTACTTGACTTCATTTAAATTAACCATTTGATTAGTTAGCACTCTTGAGTCAGATAGGGACAGAAAATGCATTTAGAATCTAAGATTCTAAATTAATCACCCCAGTCCCCAGCTGCGCCTAATAATTGAAGCATGTGGATCATGCATATATTCCACAGAAATTTGTACGAGAGCTTTCCAATTGGGAAAGTGGGCTATATATTGCCACGTCTTGCAGCGATCAGCTGGACATGCGATGCGAGGTGGCCATAGGGCAAAGGTGTACTCGTAGAGGAGTGTGTGCAAACTGAACAGGCATGCATGGTAGAGACTAGAGACCGACAAAATGGCTGGCATCTCCTACTTGCATGCTCAAGCTTGCTGTAGAATGACCTAGCAGGTAGCTAGCAAATGTTTCATGTGTACCCCCAAGGAATCAGATGAAAAAGACGAGGGGGAATTAACTGATTAAACCCCACTACCTCGCTCTTTGCCGACATATCACACTTCATTCACACACATTTTCCCTTCATTGTCTCCAACATGATGACAAGGACAAATCCGTTCTAGTGCTGCAACGAACATATTCATCGTTTACTTAACTTCACGTTCGTTGATTTTTAACACGCCTGATGCTAGGATCTATATATTTTCCTTCATTTATATATGTATGTACATATATATGGCATCTCAACGCTAGCTGATGCATGAACAGATGCACATGTGGGGCCACGGGCGCGAGTACCGGAAGGGCCCGGAGTCGCTCAAGGGCACGCAGGCGGCGACGCTGGCGCTGCTGAAGCTGCCGTGCTACTGCTGCGCGCCCGGGTGCCGCAACAACGTGGCGCACCCGCGCGCGCGCCCGCTCAAGGACTTCCGCACGCTGCAGACGCACTACAAGCGCAAGCACGGCGACAAGCACTTCGGCTGCCGCCGCTGCGGCAAGCCCTTCGCCGTCAAGGGCGACTGGCGCACGCACGAGAAGAACTGCGGCAAGCGGTGGTTCTGCGCCTGCGGCTCCGACTTCAAGCACAAGCGCTCCCTCAACGACCACGTCCGGTCCTTCGGCGGCGGCCACTTCTCCGTCACGCCTGACCAGCAGGCGGCCGCCGCCACGGCTGTCGTGCCGCCGCTGCTGATGAAGCCCAAGGAGAGGATCATACGCTTCGATCAGGGAGCGGCGCCATGGAATGGAGCCCACGCCCATGCATGACATCAGACAGGTTATTAATTAACAGGACGTACGCGTATATATATAGGCAATAGAGTTCTTACATCTCAGTTCGAACATGATTATGCATACTACTCTCCTACTTGGATTGGGGGCGTACATAGACAGAAATAAGACTCGAGATCGAGGTTGCTTTGGACTTGGAGGCTGTGAAGTAGATGAATTTTCTTCCGAATTAGGGCTGTTCGGATTGGAGGGGATATATAATTAGTTTATCCCCCCCAATCTTTATGGAGAATGGTTTATCCAGACAAGCCACAGCAAGAGCTTCAGAGACTGGTACGGTTATTGTAGCTATATTTGCAAGGGAGAAAATTTCTCAGCTTCACATGCCGATATTTAGCACCATTGTATCATCATATAATGCATGCATGCAGCATGCATGACATGACTTTATGAAATTTAGTGCACATGTTAATTATCTAAGATCATTCCATGGTGTAAGTCATTCGCGCAGAATTATCCTGTTTTTAATTATTTTTCTACATGAATTTCATCTTTCTCATGCTACCTTTTCATCCGTTTCTCATGCAGTTTAGTTTTTTTTTGAGGAATGCAATTTAATTATATTATGGACCGTCATCTCTCAAGAGGCAAAATAACAACCTTTACGTACCACCCTAATACATGTGAATTGATGTGAATCCGACTACATCCAAACAAAACCTAAAGCTACGAAATTGCACGTTAGTAACCAGATGAAAATAAAGCAAAATACTCTGCCCATGTTGGTAAATTTCCCGGCATGGCTATTATGCAAAAAATTTAAACCAATATGGAGCCAACTCCTATACCTAAATCTGTATTACGAACACTACCATTACAAAATGGAGCCAACTTCTATGAAAAAAAGACAACATTCTTTGGAAGCATAATTTTTGTTGCATCCGAAATGCATCAAGAGTTTAAATTTGCAATTTAAACATTTTTATGTAAAAAGTAACTAAAATACAAAAATATTTTAGTATATACTTAAAAAATGAAAACACAACAAATAATTCAAGGTGACAAGAGAAATGGTACAAGAGAATGGGCGGCCTATTCCTCTTCTAGAAAGAAAAGGACCCTCTCAATGAAAAAACATAGAAAGATTGTAGGTTTAAGGCCCTGTGTGGTAGAACTCTGGCCTGTTCTAGCTCTCTCTTCTCCGTGCACTATAGTAAGGATTCATTTTTTTCTATTCTTAAGATGAACTAGGAGCCACTAAAACCACTATTTTTTGCTTCACCGCCTCGGCTCCTCCATGCACTATAGCAAAGAGTCAAAGCCAGAGCCATTTGTTGGAGCCATGCCAAACCGGTCCTAACTACATGTTGACCCCTCCACAACAGTAGATGGGGAATGAGTTGGTGTCATATGGAAAATGATAGACTGATGGAGTAAGACATGCTAATGTTAGAATTGCAACCACTTACACCGACAAGGAATAGTGCCAATATGGGGCCATACAAAATATATGACATGTGCATGGAAAAAATATAGGAGCATATATATACGAGCTATTTTAGCAACCTTGAACACTACAACTAGGTATTTTGGCACCAACTAGGTGCTAGAGTAAGATGTAGCTCACAAATTGGTAATGGTGCAACCACTTATATCTAGTGACAAGAAGCATTATGAAGATATTGATTTAAGAGCATGAGTAAAACATCGGATACAGTCACATACTATTTTGCATTAGGCTTGAATAGAAACGCCTAGGCACATAATTGCGTAGACCTCCCACTAATTTATTCTAGATATAGCTAGCATGCTCTAGGATGACTTTACATGAGTCTTGGTCTAGTGTTTCATGTCGTCTCTACTACCTAATATTGTTGCCTCTCTTTTCTCTAACCTTGGCAGCCTCGTTGCTAGTAAAATGGAGTGAGATCACGTCTTTGTCATAGATGTACATATATGTAGCATGGTTTGTGTTCCTAGCTAGACCGATACATATGCACCCTAGAGTGAAGATGTTTGGTTAACGAAAGAAGAGTAGGATGAATGAACCCTAGAACTCACTGAATTGGTTACTAAGTTATGACTAGTCATATGCCTTGTTAGACAAGGGACTAGTTTGACCTAAAGGAGAAATTTTAGGGGCTCAAGTGGTCGACTGGCTTAATATATAGTTATTAGGGATGCAAACGTGAATTTAAGGGGCGAAGATTACTGTTCTGCTATATATGTTAATTATTTTGAGGCAGTTGTGGGGCAATATATATAGGATCATGTATATTCCATAATTGCTTATAGGAAGACTCACCACCGATGTTTGTCAATCTAAATCGAACGGTACATACCTCCGTGGTTGAGAAGTGCAACTCCAAGACATGCAAGATTTGCTACATCCAGTTAAGGTTTTTAATGGCATGTGCTTCCTTCGTCCCAAAACAAACAACTTTCTAAAAAATTTTCAGGCAGATTAAGAACGTTGTCAAAAGACGCATACGTCATCATCTCCTTTCCTTTTTCGGAGGACATCTCCTGGATTAGGCGGTTATTATTATTTATACATGCATCCGTGATTAGCTTCTGTATTGAAAGATAGGGTCCCATGTTGTTGTAGAATATGATTTTGGGTAAAGTACACTTTACAACCCTCAACTCGCGCCGAAGTTCGATTTTCAACCTTCAACTATGAAACCGGTCAAGAAACACCCCCCAACTATCAAAACCGGACAAATTTGGTCCTCGGCCGGTTTCAAAAGCGGGTTTCTATTTTCAGGAGACGTCGAAATTTTAAATTATTTTTTTGAGCATCTTACTGTCCTCAAATGAAAAAACTCAAAACTACAAAGTTGTAGATCTCATTGAGGTCTACAATTTACATATAAAAATTATCTTCATCCAACATCGTATTGAAGGGTTTTCTATTTTTTGAAATTTGAGTCTCATCACGAGACAAAATATGGTGCTGAAATTTTATATTATTTTTTCGAGCATCTTACTGTCCTCAGATGAAAAAACTCAAAACTATAAAGTTGTATATCTCATCGAGGTCTATAATTTACATATAAAAATTATCTTCATCCGACATCGTATTGAAGGTTTTCTATTTTTTGAAATTTGAGTCTCATCACGCGATAAAATTGTTTTTTCATTTGAGGATGTTAAGATGCTCAAAAAAATAATTTAAAATTTTGGCGCCTCCCGAAAATAGAAAAAATAATTTTGAAACCGACCAAGGACCAAATTTGTCCGGTTTTGATAGTTGGAGGGTGTTTCTTGACCGGTTTCATAGTTGAAGGTTGAAAATCGAACTTTAGCGCGAGTTGAGGGTTGTAAAGTGTACTTTACCCTATGATTTTTGGGACAAATTTTAAGCCCCATAATGCTATTATTTGGATGGATGGAGTATGTGTGAACAGATGCCGTATATACTGCATGAGTAGGGTATACGTAACATATACCTACAGTTGTTGATCTATTAATAATTGTCAACGAAATATGGTCGGCAGTCTACCTAGGGGTATGCCCAAGGTAGTAGATTGTCGGCAGACAAATGCGCAAGCCACAAACAAGACGGTGACGTAAGACTGACACGAGGTTTTATCCAGGTTCGGCCGCCAAGAAGGCGTAATACCTACGTCCTGCGTCTGATTGTATTGCTGTATGTTAATGAGAGATGTTTTTTAGAGGGATCCCCTGCCCGCCTTATATAGTCCGGGGGTCAGGGTTACAGATCTGAAAACTAATCCTAGCCAGTTACAATTACCATATGTAGCCGGATAAGGATTCCTATTCTAACCGATCAGGATCCTGCTTGATCACCAAACCCGCCTTAACTCCTTGCGCAGGACTCTAACCAGGTTGGCTGGGCCGCGCGTCGTCTTTCGGATGGACCGGACCCATCAATCCGGGCCGGCCCAAGCTTAGCCGTAAGGGTATAGGAGTTAATACCCCCACAGCTAGTCCCCGAGCACCATGTATTATGCTGCGACACGCCATTTCGACCTTCTCCGACAAGTTAAGCCCGAGTCCTTGACATCTTCCGACCACCGTCGTCGCCAGAGAAATAGGTTGTCCGAAGAATGTATGGTGCTCTTAAGAAAAAAGAAAAAGATTTACATCCGGGAAGTGTGCCCACTTGTATTTACGAAAAGAAATGTAAGTGCGTCTTGAAGCGTAGCATCTTTGATCATCGAGGCGTAGTGGTCGAAAAAACAAACACATTCACCACAAGGTGAAGTGTGCCCACTTAGTCTCCGAGCACGGTAGTAGGTGAAGTAAGCACGTGGTGCGGGGTCTAAAAAAATTCCCAATTAAGTTGAGAACCCAATCGTCAGACAAAGCGCGTCACGAGATGCACCGGCAGTGCATCATACCGATGTAGTCCCCGAGCTTGCTTTGGAAGGCGGCGTATGAGCCTTGTAGTAAGGTCTAAATAAATGTCTCTCAACCGTATGTGAGTACAAATCACATGTAGCCGAGGAGAACAATTCTTGATCGATGGTCGGGATATCCCCGAGCACACCAGTTGTCGGAGCGATCTCCGAAACACGATAGTGGTCGTAGTAGTCCCCGAAACACGTTAGTGGTCGGAGCAGATCCCGAGCACTTCGGTGGTGCAGGCGGTCCATGAAACACAGCGGTGGTGCATGCGGTCCCCGAGCACAGCGGTGAGTGCAGCGGTCCCAGCACAGCAGCGTGGTGCGGCGATCCCGAGCACAATAGTGGTGCAGGCGGTCCCGAGCATAGCGATGGTGCAGGCAATCCTCGAGCACAGCGAGCGGTGCAGGCAATCCCGAGCACAAAGCGGTGGTCCGGCAATCCCGAGCACAAGCGGTGGTGCGGGCGATCCCCGATCCATCCTTAGCGTGAAACGGGCATCTAAAACGCGAACGCCATTGATGTATTTATTCGGTGTATTTATTTATCTCTATTCTCTGGCCAAGTCCATTCGACACGCCTGGGTCAAAAAAGCAAATGGGTATAGTACGTCATTCGTCTTCTTACTCTTTTTTCGACAAGCGATTAAACGCTTTTTGTTGTGA